TTATAGAAATTTAAAAATTAAAAAAAAAAAAAAATATTGAGAATTTTTAATTGCATAATAGGTTGTATATGTAATTGAACCGTAAATTCAGAATTTTTCCATTTAAGCTACTCAAACAACTAATCAGGATTCATTATAAAAATTAAATTATTTAACCATTTTTTTATGCTTGTTATTTTAGGGTTTTATGGAGTTTTTTAAGGGATATAGCATATTCTAAGTAAGTTTCTTGAACTGAAAGCTGCCCACATATTAAATTCAGATTCAGAAGCAATACCTGATATCCTCTAAAACTATAAAATGGTTTCTCGAGTGTTAATATCGTCACCTAAAATGCAAAATAATGTAACATCACTTTTTATAAGTTTACAGGCGATGGGAAAAAGTTATAATAAAAAACATTCATATTGAAACAAAATTAGAGTTTTGGTTATAAAATGTTTATATATTGGTTATTRTACCTGACAACCATTTTTATTTTATTTTATTTTTATTATTATTATTTTTTTTGATGAAACGTTGTTTTGCATTTTAGGTGAACATATATAGTTACAGATGGACTCTTTTATTGTCTTATTTTGAAACACCTCTACAATATTGCCCTAAATTTTCAAGTTGATCTGAGTAATAGTTTCGGAAATACAGCCTTGAGAACGTGTGCCCTCGATGCAGGCGAGGTTGAGGGCCCCGTCTTTACACGCATTTTGATCGAAACTGTGTTTTTGAAGTCCGTTGGCAGGATTTGTCGAGAACTACTGAATCGTTCTTCATGAAATTTTACACATGTCTTTGAGATACAATTCTTAAAGACATTGACGAAAGATTTTTTTGATTAAAACTATTTCAGAAAAAGATGTGAAATTTTAGTTTTTTGTAAAAATGTCTGCCAGAAATCCAATTTTCAATTTTTCTCTTTCTTTCATTCTAAGTGAAGGTTTTAACGGAAACCATCTACCAACGCGAGCGTATTTTTTCCGAGGGGCCACCGGAAGTAGCGTCACAATGGCGGAGTTTAAATTTGTTTTTTCTAAAGCTTCAGAATTTCTTTGTTAATAGTGTATATTTGTTTTTATATGAGAAAGAATTGTTCAAAAAATTCTCGAGGAAACCCATGTAATTGTTGTATTTTTTTTCGTGGTTTTTGACTCTGCAAAAAAAACTGAATGACAGCGTGTGTAAGAAGAATGCGATAAGAGCCATGAATTCGGTAAGTTAATATATTGTATATACAAATATACATATCAACCCCTTAAAAAATTCTGACATCGATGGTGATTCCTGGCTAACACCAGCTATTTTGCTTGTTACAAAAAATAAGAGATGAAAAGAAAGTCAAACAATGAAAGTTTTAGACCAATCTCGTTTCCTAACAAAAAGTGGAAGCATATCTGCGGTAATATTAAAAATTCTCGGGACTTTCCAAGTTATCGCACCAAAAATAAAAAATTATGTTTAATTTTTAAGTTCATGATTCAAAGTGACCGTACCTCTGGAGTCTTGGTTTACAATGGAAAGAAGCAAATTTCGTATTTTGATAAAATGTATTTTTTTGATGGCTACAAATATTATTGACGCTGAGTAATACAAAGACGAACTGTAATTGCGGCTTTTCGCTGCCAAAAAGTAAAAAAGTTCGCTGTCTATAACTATAAAGTACTAGGAATTATAAGGATTTTGAAGATTTTTGTAATAGTACTATTAGCACATAAGTCTATTTTGCCAGCGAAGCACATTAAACTGGAAAAACGCTTCGGTTGCATAGAAGTTACATTATCCTTCACAAACTCAAGAACTTCCTCACTAGAAATTTATTTCAATCGTTCAGTATGCATCTTATCTTTATGCTATAGGGAGCTTATATGAACAATTTCTTCGGAGATTACATCATTGCCTTCGCATTTATATATATACTTTATAGATATTCCGATGTTTCCTTCTGAGTATTAAAAATTTCGGTAGCGAACTTAGTATACCCTATTTAACCTAGACCTAGGAACACACTCTGGTTTATAGCGAGTCGAAGAAAATTACTTCATACGAACTTTTCCAAAGTAGTTAAGCAACGATTAATGCGGCAGTTACAGAAATTACCTCTCTACAAGAGCATAAAGCAACAGATACATTAAATTAAAACAGGAAAAAACCATTTATACGCTGTCCGGCGCTTGTCATATAATAAAAATTCCGCAAATTACAGAAATTAACTCACTACACTTGTACACACAAATAGTAATTTTGGATCAAGTTTCCGTTACATGCGAAAATTTCGCACTCGAAAATGACGGAAATCGCAAATAAATCATTTAGCGGCTGCAATTTAATGACCTCCCATAGGAGATTGCTAAACCGAGACTATAAACAAAGGCTATTAAGAAGCTGCAAATTGCGCCGCAGAAGATCCTTGCACGTCAGTTAGCGGGTGAGTGTGACTCCTTGACGACCTTGATTATATTGAACGACACAACAGCATTCCATGCGACTCAAGTTAAATTGAATTTTCTTACATACGGACACACACACATACATAAATATAGGCAGATAAGCAAAGCCTGCTGTTTATTGAAGTATTTAAATATTACGGAGGAAAACGAAGCGACCAAAAAATAAAAACCTGATTTTAAGTTTACTTATAATAAATTAAGTGTAAGCGATTATACTCCGGAACGCCCTACGATCTGCCCAAAAGCCCTGGGCGCAGCTCTGATCACAGAGGCCATTGGCCAAACGGCGATGCGTGTACTGTATGAACGTTTGCACGCAAAAAGTCATCAGGATGTAATTGTTGTATTTTTTTTCGTGGTTTTTGACTCTGCAAAAAAAACTGAATGACAGCGTGTGTAAGAAGAATGCGATAAGAGCCATGAMTTCGGTAAGTTAATATATTGTATATACAAATATACATATCAACCCTTTTTTGCTGCTTCACGAAATCTTCAGCCTTGGATTTTTACTTCTCTTTATTGTTTGCGGTTGAGACAAAGAATTCATGAAAAGTCTGTGTCATTATTGGATAATGGATGATTTCCATTCGACATATTCAATTTTTTTAATAATTAGCTGTAAATTATGAAATCAAGTGTTCAACTGCGTTGCTGGTAAGAATTCGTAAGAAATCCAAAGAAGAATATTTGAATGGTGGGTAACACAAAGTTTTTATGAAGCTAATTTTCACAGCAATACACGCAAGAGTTCTCTCTATGGTCACCTAACATACAAAACAGAAAAATTTTAACTTCGGTTGCATAGCTATATATAGCTCTATAATATCCTTTGCAAATACAAAATATTGAACAATTTCTTCGGAGACTGCACCATTGCCTTGAATAATAATCCCTGTTAAAAGATTTTTTTTCATACAATCACTTGATTCCGAGCGGGCGCAATCGATATTTTGATAAAAAGATGTCTGTACAGACGATTTATTTACAGATACGACCCAACAATGAGTCGAAGTTATTAAAATTTACTACCGAAATTCGGAGCATGTGGCCTCAACTTTAAGAGCACTACATCCAATTTATGGTCACCATAATCGTACTGTTTGATCAACAATTGCGCGTCTAGTGGAAAATTTTGAATCCACAGGCGATTTTTGCGAAAAGGTCTTAGCTTATATCCCTGTAAGATTAAATTGATGCAAGAACTGAAGGCCCTTAACCACGAGAATCGTCGTACGTTCGTGAAATGGACAGAGCAATAACTTGAAAATGATCAGAATTTTCATCGAAAAATCATCTTCAGCGATGAGGAACATTTCTGGCTGATTGGCACCGTCAATAAGCAAAATATGCATTATTGATCACTCAACAATCCACACGTACTCCATGAGTCACAATTGTATTCCGAAAAAAATATGGTTTGGTGCGTTTATGAGCCGGTGGCCGTACTTCTTCCGTGATGGTTAAGACCGGCACGTTACTGTGAGTAGGAATCGCTGCAGCTCAATGATAATGGACTATTTTTTGGCTTGAATTGGATAATATGGACTTTAGCAATATGTGGCACTAACAGGACGGCGCCACGGGCCACACAGCGAATGTCACAATCGATTTATTGAAAACCAAGTGGCTGAGGGGCTACGTCAAGTCTATGGCTTATGTCCCCAAGATGATTGAGAAACATCGTAGGAATATCGAACGGGAAATTGCAGCAGTATCGGCCGAATTATGCTTGAAAACCGCCGAAAATTAGGTTCAGCGTGCGTGCCAATGGTGGCAAAAGCAATCGAGTTCCATACATAATGACATCAAATGTACTTTCAATTTCATTGATTCCCATTTTTAAAAGAAGTAAAAGTGATTGTTATCAGAATTAGATCGCCAACGAACTTATGTACCCAATTTCAACCAGTACACTCAATGTTTACTCAATTTGTCAGTTGCATATTCAAACAGTTTTCGGAAAATAATCGCGAAATGAATGAAAACCATCCACTCTCAGCCAAGTGCCGCAACCACCTTCCTCTTAAAGGATGTCAACATACAAACCATGAAGCCAAGATACCAAAGGGTCTATATGTTATAATACACCATAATGTTCGAGAAGATGAGCTTTAAATAACATATTAATAATATCTTGGATCTGACCAAGCATACAAGTGACTGTTCAAGTTTAGTCAACATGTATTTTGAGAAGCAATCAGATATGTAATTAACTATTTATTTTTAAAAAAATTTCTTAGTTACATTCATAACAAGTTTACTAATAAACTCAAGTGATAAAATAAATATGTCATTTAAATAAAATATATAACAGTCAACTACTTAAGCACTTGAGCGTGAGATCGCGAGTTCGTAATGATCTTTCTTATCACACCATCAATTTTTGCCTACACGCTTCGGTTAGCAAAGCAGCAGCCACTCGATCAATGTCATGCCGAGTGCACCGAGCAGAAATTTAATAGTAACAGGTTACATATACAAATATACACATATAATGTAAGTGTACATAGTTAAACTTAAAAGCCTCGCATTTTTAAGCCGCTATCGACCATCACTTACCGCTGTCAATTTCATTTTCGCTGGGATCACGATTAAACACATCGCTATAGTAGTGATCGTGTTGCTCGGATTCGACACTTTGCAGTGACTCTTGACCATCATCGGCTACTTCATCGGTTTCGGCATTGATATCCGCATAATACTCGGTACTCTGTTGTACAGTTGGTTCTGCGTCTTGTTCTTCCTCCTCTTCAGGTTCAACAACTAATTGCTGGCGATGTGCGCCACCGCTATTACTGCCACCTCGCTGCCGTTGCCTCTGCTTTAGATTAGTGTTACCATATCGTTTGCGACCGCTGGTTTTCTGTGTGTCAACACCACGTCGAAAATTGTGAAAATCTCTCGCGGAGGAGAAGCCGCGGGGTCGTGGTCGTGGCGTTGTAGAGGAGGATGGCTTGGGTAGTATTTCCGAAATGGTCGGTATGCGTTCGTTTGTGCTGCGGTTTGGGAACAGACGTCGTTCTAAATATTTGGCAAATATTTGTTGTGTTATTTGATTTTGGCGTGCGATTTCCGCGTCGTCCAACTGAAAGTCGCCGGTAGCTGGAAAAAATAATGAAATATATTTTTGTAATTTTTTTTTTTTGTTTTTTATGTTCACAAGTAAGGCTTTGTTAGAAGCAACAACAAATTTACTATATCAAACTAGTTCCAGTTCCATTAAACAGGCTTAGAGAATACTGCTTTTCCGTATAAGATTTGTTCCCTTGATTTCATGCAATTATGCAGCAATAATGGAGTCAGATAATTCGGTAGGGAAACGATCTGTTTCTAAAGCAACCACATATATGCAGATACCCAGGCTTTTAGGAGGCCAACTGCGACTAAAATACTATCACTGTATTATCTCCGAACTAATAGTACAACACTTTGTATATATGTAACCTAAGAAGTATCGTCATGAAGCTTCGACCATTGCGAGTTAGTCTCGAAAGCCAATGAAGAATAACTCTTGTAACAGGCGCTACGTCGGACTGAGTAGGTAACAGAAAAGCAAAGTCTTCTCTTGACGAACAAAACCCAAACTCTACAAGTCTGTATGGGACAAAGGTATGGGCGATGACAAAATCTGATGAGTCGGCGTTACGAGTGTTGAAGAGAAAGATTCTGCGGAAGATTTATGGTCCTTACGTAATCGATGGATCGTCACAAAAATCGAAAAGGAACAACTCGGCTATAACCTGGTAAGCGTTGTCTACGCCAATAAAGAAGAAGATAGAAAGCTTTGCATTCGGATAAAAGATGTCTTATAATCTCCTCTTTTTCTACCTCCTGACAGCTTCTAAAATATTCACTATATGGTGTTCCCAGTCTACTGGCATGTCTGCCAATTAGACAGTGAGCTGTTAGCACTCTTACTAGAGTTCTTATGTCATTCCTTTTCAATTTTAATAATCGGCATGTGCGGTTCCATTAGTGACAAGTTTGCCTGCGTGCTGAACAAATTAGGGACTCTAGATACTCTATTTATAATATGTTTGTTGATCAAATGTCTACAAGTAGCCAGAGGCATGCCATAGTTACCAGAAATATCACTATGTTCTGAAGCCTATTGCAGGTTTATGGTGAAATAAATTGTTGGATCCACTTAGAGATGAAGACATGGTTTCCAACACCTGATCCCTTTCACAGTAATGGCGATCTAGCTTACGGTGAAGTCGGCAGGATTACAAAAAGCGAGATTTTGGATAGAAACGGGATCTTACTAAGTATCTCATAATGCTATTTAGTTTAGTTTTAGTTTTTTTTTTTTTGTTTTTGTTTTTTTAATTACTTTGAGCATTTCACTTTTATTAAAAACTCTCTAGACAATTGAAGCTTACGAAGAGACGGTGCATTCCCACATTATTATAATGACACACATGGCCAATTGTATCATGAATATATCAGAAATTGATTTGATATCTAGGAAAAAATGTCAAGGTCGAGAGGTGTTGGTAATTTGTAATTAATTTTCTTAAATATGTATATACATACATATGTACATCGTAAGTCCATACAAACGACCCACTTAACTGACACATTTCATTTATGCCGCAAAAAGCATTTGCTTGCTCATCGCCCACATTTAATTTCAACATAAAAATACATGCAGATGTACATACATACATATACTATGTATGAAATTTATAAATACAATATTTTGCAAATCACAGTTGTGGAAGAAAACATCACTGACAAGTGATCATAAATCATGCGGTAAGCACTTCAAAAACGTTTTAACATATGTAAACGGGAATGTGCATACAATAAAAATAAACATGCAACGGTACATTGCTGACACATACATATTTATGTACGTACAGTAATGTTGTTATTAATTTGTAATTAGATATTTGATTACAAAATAAATGTATGAATCAAGCAGTGCGTGAGTGAATATACAAAAATTATGTATCGTCATTAAAAATGGAAAATAACGCAAGATGACTTCTCATAAGTTTCCGGCGAAGGAAAAACGTTATAATAGGAACCATTTATATAGAAACAAAATTTGAGTTTTGGTTATAAAATGGAAATTTGGAAATTAAATTTGAGTTTCGGTTATAAAATGGATATGTACTGGTTATTATGGTATATCTGGCAGTGATTTCGATATTTATTTATTTATTTTTTTTTTTTGATATGTTGTTATGCAATTTAGGTAACCATATACAATATGTATGTATGGTTTCTTAAAAATTACTGAGATTTTAGATACATACATACATATGTATAAATTTGTCTATATTTATCGAATTCACTATACTCTGTGAAGGCATTTCCTTCCACTTTTTCACCGTCACTTCACTTCGTTTTACATAGATATCCTCTCAGTTACAACGACATCGATCTTAATAAGTAAAAATCATAAAAAAATTTTAAGTAGACTGGCACTCAGTCGTTAATTTTAATGAGCAATGGCGCATGTTTAACTTTAGTAACACCTTAACAGTCCAGTCTTCTGCGCATGTGCCATGTTGTTGCTCATGCTTCGCATGCGGTGGACTTTCTATCCTTGACATACTTTTGAACACACTCAGCTTCCAAGCCTATATTCAAGAGCGCCTAAAGTGATAATAACAACGGTAAATACCGAGACATCGCAAATATTTGCATACCATCAAGCATACATGCACGCATGCACATATATACATACGGACATAAAAAACATTCACTTGCCCAAGCGTATAAGACGCTTCAAATCAAGCATTAAAAGCAAATATTTCGCCATATGTGAATGTAGGTACATATATTTCTATAAGGGCGTATGTAGATAATCAAATTAAAAAACAATCAAAATTTCTTCAAGCACAAAGAAGCCCAAATAATGTAAATAATAAAGCCCATCTATTGAAATTTTGGTAGTTCGGTTGAAAACAATCGAAAAACTTTGGGCAGCAAACATCGTCACGCATGCGCAAATGACATCAGTCAAGCGGCATTGAGGCGCGTTAAATGATTTATTTGAAGTATAGTTTGATGAGTGCAAATATTTGAGATACGCATGGTATATTGCGTTGATGGCTGAATGAAGCGGGAAGCAAAATTTTGAAATTTGTGCAAAAAATAAAAATTTTTTTTTGTAATAAATTAATACTTTTAAGTTAAGCAGCTTATATTTCTTATAAAGGTAAAACTATAAAATGATTTTAAAAATAATGCAAAAATGTCTTTTAAACGCCTAAAGCTCAGCTGACAGGTTGTATAAAGTCTCTAACCTACATAATTCTGATATAAAGAGTTTTTTTTCATATTTGTTCTGCTTACACCTTTTTATCTCATCTGAGCTTTGATTTTTGGAATCGAAATGCTCTACTCGCTATAAATTGAATAAATCCAACGCAAAGTTACTTGGCAGGTATTAAATGAAAACCGAAATTTTGTCACACCTGCCTGTAAAAATGTAACAGCATTGATAAAGTCTCTTTATCAGCAGAGCTATTTAAAGCCGGCGGCAAGTAGTTGGAAAGGCGCATGTTCCAGCTGTTAAACAGGATGAATACATGCAAAATGATTGGAATATGAGTATATTCTGCATATTTCACAAGAAGGGAGATCCAGCAGTTTGCGCTAATTATTCCAGAATCGGCCTTCTAAATATCGCATATAAGATTCTTTCGACAGTATTGTGTGAAAGACTTAAACATATTGTAAATTAACTCAATGCACCTTATCAGATTTGCTTTAGACTTGCAAAAACTATGGTGAATTTGAAAATACGTCAAATCCGGGAGAAAATCCTTAACAAACAGATGGACATCCATAATCTTTATGTCCATTTCAAAACTGCTTTCGATAGCACTGTCCTATTTGACGCCACATCTAAATTTGGTATCCATCGAAACACATACTGCTAAGCAGAGTGACGTTGAGCACAACCATCTGAATGATTATTTTTGTTGCATTTTTCTTTAAATAGTGTTTACAAAATTTTATACTTGCCGCTAATCTGAACCGCTTTAAAAATAAAATGGTTGCTCTAAAAGTTAAAGGCTACTGTAGTACGCAGATGATATCCATATCATAGGCCTTAACAAAAGGGCCGTCAGCACAGTCTTTTCAGCCTAGAAAACGAAGTCAAAAAGGTTGGTCTTGTGGTGAAGTGCTTGAAGGAAATATTACTCGCTCCCTAAAACTAGCTCACTGTAGGCCGCTAGAAATATGAAAAAGTTAACCATTTTGTATATTTCGGAACCCGCATAAATTCTATCAATAATCGTGCTTTTTTGAGGATCGGTACGCAATTGAGAAACAAATTGCTCTCTTGATAATCTAAAATTGCACTCTTTAAGTATTTTATTATTCACGTTCTATTACAATGTGCGAAAACATAAGGGATGATGACCCGTGATGAGAAAGGAGCATTCGAGAAAACCGCACTTCGCAAGATCTTTGCAGCCGTCCGCGTGAGTGATATGATTCGAAGAAAATGTACTGTATGGGTTGGACGGCGACACATGGCTGTAGTTAAGTGTTTCAAAATTCAACGAATGCACTTCCAAAACCTTGTTTTTGCATGGAAGAAGATGCTCTATTGTAAAAGTCGAACGCCTCGAAATTCGTGGTTAGACCACGGTAGCAAGGGCGGCCGAGAATTCTATAGAAGGACCAAGTGCACAGCGACCTCTCTACAATTGGGATGTACTCGATCCAAAGCTACCCACTCTCATATACTCCTTATAATGATTTTCGTTATTCTAACAAGTTATATGCCGAATATGTTGGGCAATTAGTATCACTTAGGTATAAAATTGCTTCAAAATATGTTGTCGAGTATACCTGAGCAATTTCAAATTAAAGCGGTCTAATAATCCCCTTCTCTCCCCTAATATAGCCTACATAATGATTTTCCACAAAAAGTGTGATATTTAAATTAAATTATTAAGGTTTAGTGATTATTACGAATGGAGTTGGTCCAGACCTTGGCCTAAGCCTCATATCCCTAATACGAATTTCGATCTCTTCGGGTGAGTCTAATATGTCAGCTGTATCTCATTAGAAGACGATTTCAATATAATTTCGTTGAAGCGAAGGAAAATATAGCAACAAAACTAAGTGAG